ATGATGGCTGTGTTGAATGCAGATCTCAACTGGAGGGTTAATTCAAATGCTTTCAAGTATCTTCCAAGCTCCACCCAAAATCCCAGAAAATTCCAAAAAAAAACCTAAAATCCTAAAAATATTTAAAAATTGAAATTATCCATCCACACTTAAAGTAAAATCCATCCGCCCTCCGCAACAGTTTGTCGAGGCGGACAAATTTAAATAAACTCTAGCTCACAAAGAGCTAATGCCTAGTCGAAAATATCACTAGGATCCATTCTCAAACAATCTCTTGCCAGTAAGGATGTGGTACGTGTCCTCTAACCGGCAGTTTCGCCGCCAAATGGCACTGCAGGTAAACGGTTATGACCCGGGGCCCTCTGAACCGAGTGGTTTTGCCGCCAAATGGCACCACAGATAGCGGTTATGGCCAAAGCCAATACGCTCCTTAATGGCGTTAAATCCTTGAGATATGAATCAATAGGATATGATCGATATGGCACAAAGCCCTCTGTTAGCTAAGGTGGATTCAAATTTGTCCCCTTAGACAAACATTCAACCCCGGTCTACAAGGTCCCCTTGGACGAAGCAACCCATGGCTGCCGACAAGGATCCTTCTGTCAGGTTGGGTCGACTACCTCCTCTGACTAATTAGACCAGGGACCACGATGGCCCGGGATGACGGAACCATGGGATCTTGATCGGGTCCATCATCCATTCCCCCAACATCCGCTTTAAGTGTTAGATGGTGAAATTTTCTATTTTAAATATCAAACTTTTCAAATCTTTGCAAATTCCCACATCCAAACTTCCAAATATATCCAAATCCATTGCTGCTACTATATGCCAGATAACACGTATTTTTATACGTATCTGATCGACGACTAGACTTAATCGAAAGTTCTCTCTCGTGATCGGGAGGGGTAATTAACTATAGGGGCTTGCGCCTATAGGAAACCAGAACTCAGATCATAAAGTCCTCACAAAATGAGGGCGAAATCTCTGGGTAGTGTCTTATCTACAAACCCATCTGCCTTCCAAAATTTACCTCGGAACTTAGTTCGTTAAAACTCCCTCGCCGAATAAGAAAAGCGAGTGGAGGCCGAGGACGAATTTTCGGAGCCCACAAATAGCTATGGTTTAAATAAAATGTAGCTAAAAAAGGCAAGGTGTGCTAGCTGAGAATTGCTGATTGTTGATGCGGTTGAAACATCTGCAATGGTTACAAGAATATGGTTGCTGCTGGAGGTAATGAGTGTGTGAGTGGAACTATGGGGAGCAAATGGGATAGATGTTACAAGCCAGTTTTTGAAGCGAAGTTACCAAAAAAAAAAAAAAACGATGAACTGTTTGTATATTTTAGTGGCATACATAAAAAAATTTTGCTTAATTCCAGTAGTGTTACCTACCTTTTTGCAAGTAAGCTAAGCCCATGTTGCACATGAAACTTGTTCGATGATGCACCAGCCAGGCGGTTAGTAATGTCATTTTTTTAGTTTTGTATTGTGCACTGAATTATGTGATGATGATGAAGTTCTTGTAATGTTTTATATCTATATTTTGTCTGATACTACCTATATATTCTTAATATTTGCAGAAGCTCATATTTCAAAAGCCACCTCCCAATGTACGCAAGATAGTTCTTGCAACAAACATGGCTGAAGCAAGTATTACAATTAATGATGTTGTTTTTGTGGTTGACTGTGGCAAAGCAAAGGAGACCACATACGATGCTTTAAACAATACACCATGCTTGCTGCCTTCCTGGATTTCTAAAGCTTCGGCGCGACAAGTAATATAGTTTTTTGTCCTTTTTTCGTTTATCATTGCTTGCAATTTCTCATGCAAATTCCATGAGGTTTCTTCTGCTGTTTCCCGCATGTAAGGTATATGATTAGTTGTTGTTCAACATTGTTCTTCACGTTCATCTAGTTAACAGTGGCTATAATAACTTGATAATCCTTTTTTTCAAATCCATATCTCGATAATCAATGATTTATTTATTTGTTTAACATTTATATTTGTGTCCAGAGGATAAATAATTCCTGTCCAACATTGGTTCTATCATTGTACAAGTTTGAGCCATTAATACTAATATGTTGTAAAAGATTTTTTTTAAAAATTTCTGGTGGAAATTTGTGGATCTTGACTAGATTTACTTTTGTAATAGATTTTTTTTATTTTTATTAATTTTTGTAGTTCGGATAACTATTCATGTAGCGAACTATGTTTATTTTAGCAATTTGAACCTTTTCTATTGGCCTTCTAATTGTAAATGAATAGCTAGGGTCACCTGCAACCGCACATTTACAAGCATCTAAAACTCATGCCATATATCTTTCTTTTAGTGGATAGCTTATACTCAGCCGTATGATTGTTTTTAAGTATGATTTATATTTCAGAATTTATGTAAATGGCTTTTACGATTCTGGGCTAGCTAGTCTTGTGCTTCTGCAAATTTGAACTTTGGTGTGATACGCGGAGACATCTTTCAGCATAGTTCAATGTTGCACATGTCTTAAATTAATGCCGGAAAGTTTTGAAATTCAATAATTGGAAGGGACACATACCTGTTATTTTTAGATTAGTCATTCTCTTTGGCGTATGTGCCAAGCATAGAAGATTCAAACTTCCTGACACTCGTTAGATTTAACAAAAAGACATTACCTTCATTGCTTGCTGATATGGCGGCAAAAAGAATTTCTTATTTGAGATTTTACTGGATTCTAATGACATTACTTTTATTTTCCTTCTTGGTTAATAAATGCGTGTGTGAATCATTTATTCCTTCTTTGGTCATTGGCTTTGCAGAGAAGAGGTCGAGCAGGTCGTGTTCAACCTGGAGAATGCTATCATCTCTATCCTAAATGTGTTTATGATGCCTTTGCAGATTACCAGCTTCCCGAACTTCTGAGAACTCCTTTAAACTCCTTATGCCTGCAAATAAAAAGCTTGCAGCTTGGTTCTATAACGCAGTTTTTGTCAGCTTCAATGCAGCCTCCAGAGCCGTTGGCTGTAAGTCATTAAAATGGATCTTCTACTCATCAATATTACTTTATCACAATCAGTTGTGTCTTCTTTATGAGTCTTCATTCATTCATTCATTTTATATGATAGTTGCTTTTACATTGATTAAGTCATTTTATTAGGTTCTGTAGGGCTTAAGTTGACTTGGTTATGTTCCATGTAAGTGTGTGCTGTTAGAGGAACAGGAACTACATTCACTGCACATCATTATATTAAAAAGTAATTGGTGGTAGCCAATCTAGTTTTTAACATATGATTTGTCATTTTACCCCTCTTATTATTTTATCAGCTTGAAAATGTTTCAAGCATGGTTTGAAGGTGCTTTTAACCTGGGGAAAATTTGGATCCGTTTCCATCTAGGGCTGTCTGAATACTATGTTTTTTTTCAATGGTTCCTATTATGTTTTAAGATGAAACAATTGAAAGATAATGATGGTAGGTGTGTGAACAGTTTCATTAGCTGGATAACAGGTTTAATCGCATGATCCTTGAAGTTAAGTTGCTGTTCTACTGGTTTTAATTTACTGAGATTCACAAAGAATTTTTGGAAGAGGCAAGCATCCAGGTCCATCTCCTTTTGGGTAAAAAAGTATGTAAACCATGAAAGCAAACCTTTTTTTTTTTGGCATAGAATGCATAAATTATTACTCTATTGTGCTAGTGAAGTACACACATTTATGCTTAATGGCTAAAGATGACTCAAGTGACTTAGACACCGATCAAGTATACAGCACGGGTACTTGGTTTTTTTTCTTACCTTTTATAACTTTTGAACTGCTGTTGAAAAACTTAATCATACATATGCTTATGGATATTTATTGTTTGCTTATTTATGTTATAAGTGATAAATTGTATACAGTAAGTTTTATGTGAAAGCATCACACAAGCAAACACCCTCATGCATACTAATGAATGGTAATGAACATGGTGCTCTAGGAAGGATAGAGATAAAGGCATACCATACACGAGGCTCACACCAGTGCAGGATCTGGAAAGGGATGTACCTTGTCTTACATTTGCATTGCAATGATAATTTTGTGGTTCAAACTCAGGACATTCAATTAATAACTGAGCAATATAACCTTTGTTCTTATACCATCCCTTCTAAGGAAGGGAATAGTGAAATATTTATATTAAAGGTGTCGGGGGAGTTGTTCCTAATGAAGATGAAGTTGTTGGAAATGGACTTGGGTATTTTGAGCATATACAGACGATAGTGGAAAATGCATCAAGAAGGCGGGGAGATGAGAAATGAATTAGAAAGTGAGGGGTAACACCAAGAAAGCCAAATGTAAGCTGTTGTAATATGACTAGAGGCCACAGAAAGAATGACTTGCATAAACTAGAGTATAAAAGACATTCTATAACAAATTAAATAGATGAAGATTGGATTCATAAAGTTAGAACTCATATAATTGGGATAAGGCTAATAATGGTAATAATGATGAGTTGATGACACTATTCGGATCATGAACAATAACTCTTCCCCTTCCCTGCTTTCATACTTGTTACATGTTGGCTTATTCAACAGACTGATTACTTAATTTCATACAGGTGCAAAATGCAGTTGAGTTCTTAAAGATGATAAGTGCATTAGATGAGAATGAAAATCTTACAAATCTTGGTACGCTCTGTCTCCTTTTATGGTATAAAATTGTGTAAAATTTTTATTATTGTATAAGTCATACTATTTGGTTTGTTGGATCTCAGATTTATTGTTTTTATTTCTTTTCCCTGTAAGGAAGATACCTCTCAATGCTTCCTGTTGATCCAAAGCTAGGCAAGATGCTTATTATGGGTGCTGTGTTTCGCTGCTTTGATCCTGTTCTCACAGTAGTGTCAGGATTGAGCGCTAGGGACCCTTTTCTGCTTCCTCAAGACAAGAAGGATGTAAGTCGATGAAATAATTTGAAGATTTACATATGATGAAAACTGAGCTAGGATGTCTCAGATTTCATGTATGATGTATGAGCATCTGGCTTTTGCTGCTGAAACTAGTTAGATACATGTTTTCACTTCACTCTTTTCGAAATAAAATTTAAAGCTATTTTGAAATGGGTAATTTGGATATCATCTAATTCATTTTTCAACTCTCAGTTGGCAGGAACAGCAAAATCAAGATTTTCTGCAAAGGATTACAGCGACCATATGGCTCTTGTCCGCGCATATGAAGGATGGAAAGATGCTGACAGAGAAGGGTCTGCTTATGAATACTGTTGGAGAAACTTCCTTTCATCCCAAACCTTGCAAGCTATCCACTCATTTCGAAAGCAATTCAGTTTTATTTTAAGAGATGCTGGTTTGCTTGAAACAGATGCCAGCACCTGTAACAGCTTGAGCCATAACCAGTCACTTGTCCGTGCTATCATATGCTCTGGACTCTTTCCTGGAATATCTTCTGTAGTGGTAAATCATCCTCAGCATTACTTGCATTTAATACACACGTCTTTCTTCTCTTTTTATGCTTGAGCTAAATTTGAGTTTCTCGGTGTAGCATAGAGAGAAATCTCTTTCTTTCAAAACAATGGATGATGGCCAGGTTCTACTTTATGCTGTAAGTTTGGAGCCATCACCCTTCTTACATTTACTTTATTCTTGATCTTTTAGCTGTGTATTTAGTAGAACCATATATGAGAACTTTTTACCCTAATCATAATTAGTCAGCCATTGAGTTTCGTTAAACATGTTATTCAAGAGGCATAATGCCTTTAGTCTAATATTGACCATTATCGTATAATAATCTAACAAACGTAGTTGAATGAAAGTGTTAAACAGGCTGATTAAATCATCTGACTGATTCAGCAATTTTGAAGCTGAAATTTTGCTCTGCTGCCCCCAGCTAATTCCTATGAGCTTCTCACCGTTTGCAGGCCAAAAGAACACAAGATTATCACTTTTTTAGCTATGAAGAGGACAGCATTAGAGGAGTGGTTGATGAAGAAATTATGTAGAGAGAAATTCAAATTCTATGAAGAAATTGTTTAGAGGGATATTCTATTCTTTGGAATCATTACATATATATACATTCTAGGAGAATAAATAGAAAAAGGAAAGACATTTAATCTAATTAATTATAATAATCATATCCCATGAATTTCCAACTGCAACCCTCGTATTACTGCTCATGGATCTCCAATTGCATCCCTCAGATTGCTGCTCACTGATCTCCAACTGTAGCCCGCAAATTGCTGCCCACGGATCTCCAACTACAGCCCTCGAATTGCTGCCCACAGATTGCTGATGTTGCCTCCTTTTCTATCTTTTCAACTTCAGATTTTTCCTTCATTAAATAAACCCAAGTGAGTCTAGTATGATCATTAAAAAATATCACAAACTACCGTGCTTGACTTATATTTTTAACCCTTGAGGGTTCCCAAATATTATTATGGATCAAGGCAAAGGGTTTAGAAGATTGGCAAGGAACAATTGGGTAAGATGATCTGATATGTTTAGCCAATTGGCAAGTTTCACATTTGAACAAATTTGAATTTTTATTAAGAAATAAATGAGGAAAAAGCTTTTTAAGACATGAAATTTGGATGACCTAACCTATGATGTCACATGAAATCTCTCTATCTTGACTGACTCTAGAATGAATCTGGACAAACTAACTTACAATAAGATGATTCTTAGGAGCAACAATTAAGGTTTGTATGGATTTGGTTGTCTTGATGTATTATAATGCTGAACAGATCTCAGCACTGCCAATCTTCCAGTTTCTTAAAAATACATACATTATTGGAGAAAACTTTTAAACAATTACTATCACGAGCCAATTTACTAATAGAAACTGGATTGCACTCAAGATTGGACACATAAAAAATCGATTTAAGGGTGATAGCTTCTGTGACAAAAGCATAACCAGTTCCTAAAACTTTGTATGTTGAGCCATCAACAATCTTAACTATTTGATTTGAATGATAAGGTAGCTAGTCATGGAGTGTAATGTCTCCTGTCATATGATCTGATGCTCCTGAGTCAATAACCCAAAGTTTTAACTATTTTATACCTGAGTAAGCATTTCTGGAGACTCTCGGTTTGTGATGTTGTTAAGCAACAACTTCAACATCTCTAAATGCTCCTTGGTGAAAGGAATAGCTTTAGCTTTGATGGATTGATCTTGCGTGGTGTTGACAGAGTTCGCCTTGCTTTCTTGTGCTGATTGTTTTGCCTTCCAATCAGTTGTTTTTCCATGAATCTTTCAACATATCTCATTTGTATGTCTTGGTTTGTTTGGCACAACGATCACACCGTGGTCTAGGAAGAGGGGAAGTTGTCTGCAGATCTAGAGTTTTCGGTGTTTAAACTGGTAATGTTTGGATACGAGGATGAGATCTCGTTATCCATGGACATGGTTGGGTTTCCTCGATTGAAAGAGACGATGAATTTTGGGCAAGGGCCACCGATGCTTGAAGAGAGGCTATCAGCAGAATGATGGAGAGTTACCACCGATTGAGGGACGGAAAGGGAGAAATGTTTTCCACTGATACTTAGAGAAGGCTTTGGGTTTTCCCAGGCTCTGATACTATGAAGAAATTATTTAGAGAGAAAATTAAATTCTATGAAGAAATTGTTTAGAGGGAAATTCAAATTCTATTCTATTTCTTAGAATCATTACATATATATACATTCTAGGAGAATAAACAAAAAAAAGAAAGATATTTTATCTAATTAATTATAATAATCATATCACATGGATCTCCAACTACAGCCCTCAGATTACTGCCCACGGATCTCCAATTACAACCCTTGAATTGCTTCCCACGGATCTCCAACTGCAGCCCTCAGATAAATAGTTCTTTGCTTATTACATCATCTTAATTGCATTAGGAGCCCTAGAACCTTGAACAACTTGCATCAAGGGTTCAATTTTTTTGAAAGAGCGGTGGCAAGTCATTTGGGATTAAATTGAGAGTACATAAGGTGAGATCTTGCTGGAATGGCTGCTTTTGTGATGACATGAAGGGCATGGATGATAACATTTGGCATACCCTGGGAGATGGATTCATGGGCGTTTATTGTTGTGAAGGCTCATAATAGAGTGAAGTGCTAGCATATTAGGGGTTTGGGGACCACATAGAGGGCAATTGGGGCTCTGGCGATGGTCTGAATTGGTTCAATGGCATGGTGGTTCAATGGCATGGAAGTCCATGTGTCAAAGGAAAATCTTTTGGACAATGTAGATATGCAAAAAGTGCTACATGGCAGTTTTATTAGTCAAGTTTGCTTGCTTGTTTATCATTTCTCTTAATTTAATGCCAAACTCCATCAAAAGCAAATTACGTGGATAGGTTGTTTACACTTCTAGCCTCTGAGAGATGCAATTGATGTATTATTGTCTTCATTCTGCAGTCTTTTTTGTGTATGAATTTTTTTTCACATGCACCCTTAATAAAAGGCATTTCATACTAATCAGTTGAGGCTGAGATAACATGTGGCCATCTGGGTCAGGTCAGTAGTAAGCTCTTGAAAAGCCTGAATTAATCCAAAAAAAAATTATAAGCAAATTGACATAGTGTTGCTGGATATCATGATTATCAGAATTTAAAAGAAGAAAATCAGAGTTTTTCATAAGCTGGTGGTAGGAAAGGAAGGCGAATAATCAAATATGTTTTTCTTTCATGACCATGTAATAAGTCAACAAAATAATGTGCATCTTGATGCTTTTGTGCAGCTAGATCTGATTTTATTTTCAAGTAGAATCTTGCCATGCGTAGCTTTTTTAGTACTGCACGAACCATGGCTAACATATTCTTCTTGGTGCTTGCTACATATGCAGTTAATTACCTATACCATAAACTAGGATTCTGTAAGCTGAATATTTTAGTAAGTTGAATGACTTATGTATTTTTAACCAATGCTGATGTTTGTATCAGAACTCTGTGAATGCAAAATACCAAACCATTCCGTACCCATGGTTAGTATTTGGTGAGAAAGTGAAAGTAAATGCAGTCTTTATTCGTGATTCCACTGGTGTATCAGATTCTATGTTGATCCTGTTTGGTGGTGCTCTAAAAAAAGGAGAAATGGTAACTTTTTAAAATTTTTGTTTATCATGTCCAGTTAATTCCTTCTCAATGTCATCCTGTAATAAGTACTGGTTGGAAATGCGAATTCAGGCTGGACACTTAAAGATGTTGGATGGCTACATCGACTTCTTCATGGATCCAAGTTTGGCGGAATGCTATTGGAAGCTCAAGGAGGAGCTTAATACGATCATCCAAAAGAAGGTAGCTTTGGTATATAATTGATTTTATATTGTTAGCCTTACCCGTTTGTTCATAGGCTTTGATCTAAATGCCATTTTCCACGGCTTTGTTAGGCAAAGCATGGACTAAGTTCCGTTGCTGATAATGGTATCAACACTTGCTTAAAAAAAACATAGTGAAAAAGGAGATGGTAAAGTACCACATGAGAGAGGTGGTTTTGCATTTGTGTGGTGGCTTTGGCTCCCCCCCCCTTCCCCATTTCAATAAAGATAGAAAACACGATGGAAATTTGACAGAAAAGTTTATTAAGGTCGTTTTATTGATTGTAGATCGGCAGCAAGTGTCGAGAATGATGATTTTGTTTATCCTCATCTTATCCGTAAACCTGAAATAATTACTTTTGAGAGAAATTGTAGAATTTACAATTGTCACGACCCGACCCGGTTAGCTCGTAGATACGAGGCGGGAATGAGATCGGACATGTAATAAGTAATTCATCATTCTTCAAGTAAAATAATACTATTCAAAGAAATCATCACATGACAAAAAGCACCTCTAATAACACAATTCCATAACACCACATATGTCTAACATAATGTACAAGATGGCTATATCAAAAGTTTTGACACTTACTCTGTATGCCATCCAAAAAAAATCACATAAACAAAAACTACAACTACAAGACAATAAAAAAAAGGAACCTGTCACCCGGAGTACGACGCCTGTAAGTGAACCTTGGGTTTTCAGCCATCTCTTCTACTAGGTTCTCCTGAAAATTTTCCCAAAACTCGGGAATGAGCTACGCTCAGCAAGTGATAACTATAGCTAAACTTTGTATGTCTATGAAAAAACATATTTTGTGAAATAATATTCTACACATGAGTTAATAAGTGTCTAAATGTTAAATTGAACATGATATGCCATTTACTTGCCTAGAATATGATATGTGATGCATAGATTTACTGTAATGTCATAATATAAACATCCGTCCCGGAGTATCGAACGTACTGATCAGGTACATTTCTTTCTTTTTTTTTTCTTCTTTCATGGCCATAGCATTTTCATATAATTCCATCTTGCCTCAAAGGCGGTATATAACCTCTTGATACTCCGTCATCAACAATCACAAACGATGTTACATGCGTATAATGCAAAGAAATACATATGATAGGTTAATGACCGTTTTGGACTTTTCATTCTAAGTACCAATGCTTAACATCAAGTAACACTTGCATGAAATGTATCATTTAATACCCTTGCATGACATGACATTAAGGAACAATTGCATGAAATGCATCTTTAAGTATTCTTGTATGAAATGGAAACATTAAACATAGCATAAAACTTTTGAACAATATAGATATACTTGTTTTAGCAAATAGAATCACTTACCTTACACCTTCTTTGCTCTCCCTACAACAGTCTTGTCTCCTTCTACGGTTCAAGACCTAAAGCAACGTGATAAACGATTATTAGCCTCAATCCTTAACATCTAAAATCCCTACACATCATCTTATACCCTCTTATACATTCATTTATTTTGTAAATAAAACATTTAATCTAAAATTTTTGGATTAAGAAAAATGCCCAAAATTTTGACTTTCATCTTTTGCCCAAATCATTCCTTAAGCATGCTAAAACCTCCCCTTTATTTATTTAATCAATAATATTCAATTATTTTCGGATTTATATTAAATTAAAATTTGGAAAAATACTTTTTCTCTCCAATTTGACATTAGAGGCCTCTTGAGGCCCTTAGGAATCCAATTAGGAAGCATGCATCCTATAAAAACTAGGTTTTGAAAAACCCTAGACTTTCCTTAATTTTTCCACTCAAATTTGGTAAATGAAAAATTACATTTTTCATATCAAAAATCTTCCCTTAAGCTCCTCTACTCATTCCAATAAAAATTGTGTCAAAAAGAGAAACCCTAAAATTCGGATCCTAGGTTTTCCCTTAAGAAATCATCTAGAAATTTCACTAAAATACATTCCTACACAAACCCTAAAGGTTTGCTAAAGAAATAATCAAGAAAAACCAAACCCTAATTTCGGATTTCATTCTTTTGCTTAAAATTTTGACATGTAAGGTAGGGAAAACATAGATTAAAGAAATCTCTAAAGCTTTCCTAAAGAAATTTCTAAAAAAAACACAAACCCTAAAGTTTTCTTTCAAGAAAACTCAAGAAATCCTTCATTTCTTTTAAGAAAAACTTACCTCAAGGCTTTCCCTACGCTTTTCCTAAAGATTCCTCGCCGGAATCTCGCCGGCCGCCGTCCGGAAAGAAGTTTCCGCCGCCTCCTCCCCTCTTCCCGTCGCTCTCTCTCACGCTCGGCCGAAAAAATCGCACAAGGGACCGAAATATTCGGTCCCTTAGGTGTGAGAATGACTTAAGGAAATTTTAGGAAGCCAAATTACGCATGTGCCCTTCTCTCAATAGGTTTTCTTTTAAATCATGAAGGGCAAAATGGGTAGAAAGGTTAAAGTTTACTTAAACCTTCTTCGGAAATTTATAACTCCAAAACCAAGCGAAATTAAATATAAGTTCTTTATATCGTTTCGCTCGAAATTTCGAGACGAATCTAACGAAATTTATTTCGTCGAATTCCGACGACGTCGAAATTTCGCTTAATTTCGTCTCGGCGCATTGAAAAGCGTGCGAAGCCTAAAACGGCATTTTTTTGGGTTTTTACATTACAATCAATATTGATTTACAGCTATGACCAATTATGATGGATCCAACAAATTTCACCGTTTCTCAAAACGAAATTTTTTTAAAAAAATTTCAACCAAATGATCCTTTATAATTCTTGAAGATCTTACAATTGAAATTACTCACGTGCATTTTTTATTTTTAACCAGCAAATTCCTTTGGCTTCTGCAGCTTGAAGACACCAGCTTGGATATCCATAAGATTGGCAAGTACTTGTTGCTTTCCATTCAGGAGCTGGTCTCTGGGGACCTTTGTGAAGGGAGGTTTGTATTTGGCCGAGAAACAAAACGGATACGAACCTGCACTACCAGTGAAGACAGCACCAGCAAATTCACAAAGGGTGGCACAAATCCTAAAAGCCTTTTGCAGACATTACTAATGCGAGCAGGGCACACCCCTCCGAAGTACAAGACGAAGCATCTGAAGACTAATGAGTTCAGAGCTATGGTGGAATTCAAAGGGATGCAGTTTGTGGGTAAGCCCAAAAGGAACAAGCAGCTGGCAGAAAGGGATGCGGCCATTGAGGCTCTTGAGTGGCTGACACACACCACTGCCGATGATAGTCAGCCCAAAGACGATGAGGACTCGCCTCCTGATATTACTGATAACATGCTGAAGCTCCTTAATAGGAGACGGCGGCGGCGGTGCTCGAGGCAGGGTTCAGGTTGATTATGACAACTATTATGGACATGACAAGGTATATTAGAGTTTAGTGTTGGGACCTCCTGCGGGATAGGGAAGTTGCGCAAAGGCATGCTTTATAATCTTTGTCAAAGATTGAGGCTTCGTTTGGGACGGCTTTATTACTACTTCTTAAAGCAACTTTTTAATACAAAATTATAATTTATATACTAGAAAGGTGCTTTAAGAAGAAGAAAAAAAGCTGTCCCAAATGAAGCCTGATATTAAAGTTTGCTGATGCTCCAGAAAGCTGTTGCAGATAGAGAAAATGAATACCAGTTCATCTTTGTAATCTATCCAAATTTGTCTGTTAGTGTAAATTTTCAAATGCAATTTTGGTCGTCAATGTATTCTTCCATTGGTTTACTGTTTTTGCTTTTTAAGATGATGTATCCTTTAATTATTTTAATGTTAATTGAAGGCAATTTTCAATTTCGTTGTAAATTTTGTTTTAAATTTGACGATTGGCCCTTTAGTGTGAAATTATTATCAATTGTATACTGGTAAAAATAATTTCAGCTTCTCATCACGTCTATTCCTGCTCTTTGCCCTCTTAGAATAGAGGATAATCATGTGATTTTGTTAATATTACATGTTTTTGCAAAGAATTTTACTGTAGTGATGGTGATCTAAAAAACATTTTAAACATTTGCTGCTTCTGATATGTTCATAAGAGTTAACATTGCTATTTACTTCAATGAATTTGCTTAAATTTTAATAATGATCTGATTAAAAAAGATATGTAAACATATATTACATTCCATTTATGCTGAGATGATATTGTTTTCTGTAATTGGAAGGTTGTAGTTGCATAACAAAAATTGCCTGGGTTTAAAAGTAATGCTCATTTCTTTCCAAAAACCATTGGCACATAAATTATTGTAAAAGATTTTGTAAAGTTCGCAAGTAATTGCTCATTTCTATGTGAGAAAATGGCCTCAGATAAATCCTAATTTTATTCTCTCTAGATTATGCATTTTGCACCTCTTTGTAAAAATAGGTGGATCATAAAACTATATGATAAAATCAATATGAATATTGATACTGAAGCCATTCTCCCTTTGCTTCATTTTATCATATTTAGGCTTACTTTAGGACGACTTTCTTAATGCTTTCTAAAACCGCTTTTAAGTACAAAAATTATTTGAATTTGAAATTTTTGCACTAAGAAACAGTTTTAAAAATCAATATGAAAGTTGTCAAAAACAAAGCCTTAGTCCCTTTTTATCCACTATGAAACTTAAATGCTTATTAAAATTTGTTTATTTCTTTAAAATATTTTATATTTATTTATTTTGAAGAAATGTGTGAATTTTTTTGAATAAAAATAGCCCCATTTTATATGTGTAGACTGCTTATTAAAGTCTATCATAAATAAATTTGATTTGAAATCATTCAAAATCAAATATTTGTTCAAATCTTATTGTGTCGATGATTTTTTTTCAATATAGTCTAAGATTTTGTTTGGGATAATTTTCTTAGTTTTTAAAATTTTTGTACTAAAAAAATATTTAAAGAAACAGTAAAGAAGTCACTCCAAATTTAAATAGTTGGTTGAGCTTCAACCAGGAAGTCATGTTATTATATGTGAAGCCTAGCTCATGCATTTATGTGTTTGCCAATGGTATATCATTCAATCAATCAAAATAAAACTCATACTAAATTTAGGTATAGTCGTAATTAGGTAGGTTTGAGAGTGGCGATTTACAGCCCAGAATCCCAATCTAATGTCCGATTCCATTCCAAGTCATTGTTAGGCAGCTAGATCCCTCTTAATACCACGATCCAGAGCTCGCAGCCGGACCTTAGAGGTAAAGAAGCAACAGCGAAGAGCAGATTTTGACGGCAGAAATTAGAGGATTGAATTCGAAGCTCTCACTCTTCAAGCCTCGCTCACTTGATCGCGCTTCACGCCTCTCAACCGCCATCTCGAGTAACCATTGTGAGCGAACGTTCTCTCGTCTCAGTCTCAGTTGATTTTGATCGATTCCTATTCTCATTAGTTCTTGCCCGTGTAGAATAATGATAGCTTGACTAGGTTAGCCGGGCCTTAGATGGGTGGCTTATTCTGATCTTGAATGCACAGATCTTCATGCTTGTTTAAGGAATTTTTGTTTATAGCATTGATAGTTTTGTTTTTCAGCTGGGAAATAGCTAATGATAGCTTGACTAGGTTATGTTGGAGGTTTCTGATAAGAGAAACCTAAGCTTTTGCATATAAATTATTCGCCGTGGTTGCCATATTATTATTGTCTAGTTCTGCCTAGATCTTACAATCTTACTTTTGGAAAATTATTTCAATCTCCGAAAATTTGTAGATTTTACTTGGGATAGAGAACACGCTATTTGGAATGAGAATTTTACTGAAATTTTGATGTGAGCAACTTATATTTACCAAGAAACTTTCCACTCCTGTTCTTTGTGTAGTGCTCAAGATTATTTCTCATTTCTTGGTTGCAGACTCCAGACCTGATAGGTTACGTTTGCTTGTATTTCAAAAATTTGGAGAAGAGTGGAGGGACTGTGTTGTAATAAATATAAGACATCTGATTATCACAAATACAACAACTGGTAAGTTTATTTTATTTTTAGGGGATTTTCATGTGTATCACAAAATTCTTATGTATTTACATATCTAATTCTTAAAACTTTATTACGTGTCTCCGAAAGGATGCTGCTGGAAGGGTTTAGAATGCAAAGAGTACGATCGCACTATTCCATATGACAAAACGATCACAAGCTTTTACATTATGCTCAAACAGGTCAATGAGAGAGTAGATGAAATTATAGATACAATTATCCATGGACGATAGTAGCTTTTGCCTATAAATCTCGAGGGATAATAATATGTATAACTCGTTAATCATGAGATTTCCTCCATTCGATACATCAGTTCAAATGTGCTTTATTTGATGTTGGTGTTTGTGTCGGTTCCCCACAAGCGCAAGCCTCGTGGTTAATTACATCTTAGGCCTTGAGTCAATAATACTCTCGATTAAGAATATTAAATTATTCTCTTTTAGATTTGGTGCATAATAAAAGTTCCTAAACTCTTCTAATCTGAAGAGGATAAATCTGTTTTCTTCATCTTTAGTCACGATTAGATTTTTTAAATATTTGAAATTTGATTAAAAATTTACGTTTAAAAGATTAAAGATGGATCTACTATTTTAGGAGAAATTATAAATTTAGAATTTATAGGAGTTAGAGAAGACACTGACTGGCGCACAATTTGGGCTTATGCTTGCCTGGAGTGAGCTCCCAGCTAATTTCCTAAACACTATCAATCGCCTTATGAATGTAAGATAGGATAACTTTAATCCTATGGAGTCAAATATATTAATTCATAGATTTAAATTAGGGCTATAAAAATATGCAAATAAATCTAACTAAATATCATGTATGATGCAGGAAACAAATGCATAAATAAAATTTTATTAATTTATTTATTTTAAAAATAAAATATAATCTAGGGTTTGCAAGAAAGTAAGGTGGCCAAGCTCCACAACAATATGTTTGAATTTCTATACCTATGAAATATGTAGATTTAAATGTACTTGCTTACCATCTTCTGTCTCCGGATTTTTTTACAAAATTCCATAAGAAAATATCGTCCAAAAGAGGGAATTATCTTTTGGTACCCTATATATGTGCATAAAAAAATATCTTTAAATCTTTATAACTTTTGACACTTTACATTTACATTTGACTATTTGCATATGCATTTGCACCTAGATAAATTCTACTTTGATTCTCTTTTTGCAACAAAATAAAAGACAATGTAAATGCATAGATATGCATGAATATGCAATTTAATAAACTAAAGTGTATTAACATAAATGTAATTATGCATGCCATGACATCTAGAGCATTGAAAGTAAATAAACACATAAAGGATACCCTCCAAACAAAGGTACCCACATCACACCAAACACATGACGACTTAGCCTAAGACTAGAGTCAGTGATCTTAACAAATATCTTCTAGTGTGTGTATAAACTGTGTAAATTTGGTGTTTAAGTTTATTAGATTCGAAGTTATTTCTTGGTTGTAGATCAAGAAAGATTTTAATTTAGCTTTAAGTTTTGATATTTTAAAATTTTATTAATCAAATTTTAAGGTGCTTTATTTGTTTGTGTTATTTTATTTTAGATTTTAAAGAACCATGTTAGTTAGTGGTTTCAAAGTGCAGAAGTTATTAACCCAAGTCCTTTGTTTCATAATTGTAATGCTATCATTCCCCCAATAAAGGATAGGATTGGTTGCATAGAAGCCTTGCATTTTAATTAGGTGTTTTAGTTCTTAAGAGCTTTCAATCCAATATATATTTGCCTTCCTAAAAGGGGTTAAGCACTAGCGTATAAAATTCTAGTTTTTAAATATTTTATTAATGATTTATCAGTGATCATTTAGGTTTAATATTGACTACCTTTGTTAAAGTAGGGTTGTGAGATTTATTTCACCTCCTTGGGGCTAGGGGAGCGGGCCACTTTAATTTCAGATTTTAAGTTTGTGTTGGTGGAGGGAAAAGAATTTAAAAATCTGAAATTTAATTTCAAATTTTAAGGAGGGAAGGTAGGAATAATTCAAAATTTGAATCTCCTCTAATTGAGCTAGGGTGGGGCGGCGGTTAGAGTGTGAGCTAGGTAGGCCGGCGGTTAGGGGATGGGCCGGATCTTGGGTTTTGGTGGGGGAAAGGGTTGGCGGTGGGGGTTGGGATGGTGTGGGAAGGGGGCCGGTGGCTTGAGGTGGAGAGGGTAAAGAGGCCGGTGGTTTGAGGAGGGAGGCCATCTGTTTTGGAGGAAGGTAGGGAGGAGGCCGGTGGCTAGGGAGTAAGAAAAGTGATAGGAAAGGTAGGGGCGAAAAAATCGAGAGCCCGAACTTGTCCTGCGGCTGGGGGGAGTTGCTTTGCCCTCACTTAGGGACTTTACTTCTCACTAGAGCTCTCAACACTCAGAGAACAAGAAAGAAGAAATTTTTTTCATTCATGAATCATCATCCTCATACAATAGTGAGGGCCCTCATATATAGTAGGCCTCAAAGCAAAAGAAAAACGCAAAGACTCAAATGCTCTCGAGGCTATAACACAAACTAATCCATCACAAGGGTACAATGGTAAAGACTCAAACATAAATAAAATAATACATAAATTGTATCATAAATAAAGACTCTTAATCGTAGCCGTCGATCTACGATTCCTCCGATGATAGACGCGCCGGAATCTCTGCTAATGTCCTCATCATTTTGAGTGAAAGTTATATACACGATATTGCTTATTATTTTTGGACTTTAAGTTGAAGGGGCAATATATGAAACATATAGTAAAATATTGTTCTAATATTAGATTGGAGCATTTTAAGAACACTAACAAAAATATTTTTTAGAGTAAAATTTAAGATCTTAAGATTTTGTTTGTGCAGACAATTTCTCTCCTTAGCAAATCCAAATTTCTTCCCCAGTCCTTTTTTTAATATTCTTATATTTTTTATTTATTTATTTTTATCTTCTTCCCCGATCCGTGGTCCTAAAATAAGCAACATGTATGGTTAAATAGTACTTGTCAATTATGGTCATTGGTAAGTTTTTGTATGGAGATTAGGTTTGTGGATAATCAAGATACGTGGAACACATTTTTGAGAGTGAGGGAGAGAGATAAGGTTATGTCTCTTTGGCCCACTACTGTAGTAAGAGAATCATTAGCAGTGATAATTTTCTTATTACTTAAGCAAGGAGTATAATTGATAAAGTGGATAGTGGAGTGTGCCATATGATTGGTGGTTCCCAAGTGAGTGATCCATAAACCTTTCAAATGATTTTTAGAGGCTCTTAATTAAATGGATATAAGAATTTACCTGAAAGTGCAAAAGAAAAGGATGCAGGTGATTTTTTAAATGATACCATGAGTTGTTTTAGCTTATCAATATCTTCTTTATTGAGCTCTCCAAAGATGGATTGCGCTTCTGAGGTGTGTTGACTTGTTATAGCGTTAGCTTGTGATGTGGTCTTTTGTCTACTTCTTTGGTTCCATTCTTTATTGGGGGGATTTTCGTGTATCTTCCATCATGTCTTTTTTCTATGTTTTGATTTCTTGTCATAACTGCACCAAAGGAACTCTTTGTCTTTAAATTTTGAGGACTCCTTACCTTTTTCCTTTCATGGTGCTTCTCTGGTTGTCACCATTGTTGAACATTCAACAACCTTTGGCTCCAACATTACTCCGTCAGCTTTCTTCAGCACGAATAAGAGAAATAGTCTCATTTAATGAAGGTGTCTTCTTTTTGCCAAGGATCTGGACTCTCACCTAATCAAATTCTACATTTAGTCCTGCAAGAAAATCATATACTCTATCTTTTTCAATAAAGTTTTTCAGGATAGCAGTATATTTTGAATATTTGGTCTCTATGCATCTGTAGTGATGAACTTCTTGCCACATGTTTTGAAGGAGTGACATATTTCGTCACAATCTTATTTCCTTATTTTGTGTTTCCCACCTTGACCTTAATTTCGAAGATTTGGGCAACATCTTGAGCTTTTGAGAAGGTATGTCTGGCGGCATCTCATATGTTCTTTGCAGTGGATAGAAACACAAATGTATCACTAATTTCTAGAGTCATGGAATTCCACAATCATGACACAATCATGGAGTTCGCTTTATCCCATGCCCAAATATTAGGATATGCTTCTTTTTGTCCTACTCTAAGGAGGTGATTCATCTTTCCTTTTTCTTTCAAGTAGGTCTTCACAAATTGAGACAACTTCAAATAATCCTTTCCATTCAGGCGATAGGAAGGTTGCTTACTTTCAAGTAGGTCTTCACTAATTAAGACCACTTTGATGCCAGTTTTGCTTGGGCACGCAGGGAGGACTCGAGGAATGAAGCCGACTGTTCAATGTTCCCTTCTTTATGACAATGAAGGCCATCCTTTTTGCTTTCTTCGTATCCCCCCTTACGAAATTTTGGAAACGGTAATGAAGGCCGATCGTGGCTCTGATACCTTGTTGAATTCAGATATTTGAGAAGAAAAACTATATCTTTATTGCACAAATCTATCCCTATTTATAGATCTATACATGATATCAAACAAAAAAACAAATAAATTACAAAATCAAGCCTTATTTGATGAGGAAATCCGACCATGGAGAGTTTACTAGAGACGGGGCCGACGATCTACGGCCACGTTTGCACCGCTTTACTTTTGAGTCATCAGTTGTGTTAGATTTATTATTTTGTTTGTATTGAGTTTATTATTACATATTTTTCATTTGTACCGTCACTTGAGGGATAGTCCTATGTAAACCCTAGGGGTATGTTTGTCTTTTGTTTTCCTTCATTATATGTTGGCTATTTAAAAGCCTCCTCATCTTTTGAGGGGATGATGATTATTATAAGATTTCTTTTTCTACTTGTGTTCTTGGAGAGCTTATGAGCTTATGTGAAAGTTTAAGTCCCTAGGTGAGGGTGACACACTACCCACCAACTGCAGGAAACGTTCGGATTCATGGTCCACTTATTCCACTAAGTTCCTCCCCTTTCTTCTCCATAAGCCGCCGACCTCCCTCTCGTTTCATCCCAACCACCGGCCTCCACTCTCCACCCCTCCTAGCCGCCGGCCCAAGAAGACCCCTTTCCTCCTCCTAGCCATCGGCCCCTAGACCACTGATGCGGACATCCAACCGTCCATGCCTATCCGAGGAGGAGCTAAAGATCGACGGCCGAGATCCCTTCATTTTATCTTATTTTATTAATTGTAATTTTTTTTATTATTCATTTTTTTCCTTTTTTTACCCTTACTTAAGGGATTTGTTTTATGTAAGCCCAAGGGGCAAAATTGTCTTTTAGTTTCTTTTAAGGCCTATATAAAGAGGCATTTGCTCTTGTATTAGAATGATGGATTATTGATTTCCAAATCTCTGAGAATAGGATTTAGGATTTTAATTCCTAAATTCCTCCTCAGCTCACCGCCTCCCCCTTAGTTGATTTCCCAAAATCTGTTCACGGGATGATGCCTAGCTTGGGAAAGAATTAGAACGCCAACCTGCTGTTGGCCAAATATTCACAGCCCACTCCCATGGGTTACTTCTCTAGAAAGAATCTTAGGTTTTTGGGAAACCAAAAGCTGAAGTTGTTCTAAAAAATTTGGAGTTCTTAACCGTTCTACATCAACCACCCTCTCCCTCCTAGCCATCGGCCACAAAGACCTTTCCCCTCCCCCATAGCCGCCTGTCCAAATATAAAACTCCAACCCCAACCCTAGCCGCTGGTCACAACCCTAATCCTCTCCTAGCTGCCGGCCAAACCTCTCCCTTTGCCTCCAATTTCCAAACCAAACAATTATGACTTTCCTTATTGAAATCATCTTAAATTAGGAAAGCTTTTAAAATTCAAATTTTAATTCAATTTGATTTGGAATTGCTTTCCTAAAATAAGACACCACATATTAGGAATGTTTTAATTTAGATTTCCAATTATTAATTCTGAATTTAAAAGGGAATTTGATTTAAATCCTCTTTTCTAACTTAAGTTACTTGAATTGGCAAGCAATTAAAGCTCCCTAATCATCCCCTCCTCTCATAGCTGCCGGCCCCTCCCTCCTTTTCCCATTTGTTGGAGAATTTGAATTTCAAATCTTCGCAATCACCTCTCCCATTAAATCTGAAATTAAAATTCAGATTTTGAGACCACTTCCCTTCTTTAAATAATATCCCAAATCTGAAAATAGAATCCCTTTCCCTCTTCCATATGGCCAGCCCCTTCCCCTCCTCTCTCCACCTCAATTACTCCTAATCTCCTCCTATTTTCTGCTATTGCCATCTCTCCAAGGTCTCCCACTACTGTCCAAAAATTTCAGCAAAGTTCCTTTGCTGCCTTGCTGTCTGGAAGGACTCTGTTTGTCGTCCAAAAATTACCCAACTTCTAATATGCTGTCCACTCATGTATGGCGGATTCTGAATAAGACCACGACTTCATATTCAACGACCAAGGGTCCATCGACGTCCTCCAATCACCGTTCTTCGACATCGACTTTGCCGACGATCAAACCGTTGAAGACTACGTAGAAAGGATCATCTTCTCCCTTGTCACCGCCATCGAACAACAACACTCTCCCGTCCAGTGACGACTAACTTCCAAATCTTGACAATGGTGAACTCTCCTTCAAGTCTTTTCCCTTCTAAGTTTCCCTTCATTATGACATCATAAAGATTGTGCAACTTGTCTCCGCTTAACCAACATCAAGAGTGTGAGTGAGTGGACCTAATTAGTGAATAGTCTAAATGTTACTTTAGGAATTTCCTTTGAAAATCCCCCATGCTATGCTAAGTTTGATTGGAACTGCTTATTCATGATTCTAACTCTTATCGTGTAATTTGGCCTAAGCTTAAATCACAATCTTCTTGTTTTCAAGATTTATTTAAATCACTGAAGTAAACTTAATTATTGTTGTTCTACTTGAAAAGGCGTTTAATTTCAAACATTGCATACTTGCCTACGCAGTTAGTTCTACATCATTATTACCCTAATACAATCCTTCCTAAATCAGTCACCTAACTATGGAAAGGAATTAGCGTAATTTATGTGAGCCTTCCACGAATCCCCGTGGAAATCATCGGCTGGGATTTAACAAAAAGTATAGAAGAGAACTTGCCACTCAAACTTGAATTGGTGAAATCTCATGCAAAGTGAGATAACTTAGTAGTAATATAGCTTGCTTATATTTTTCTTCAGATTACATGACCAATTCTTCAGCATCTGCTGCACTGGAGTAAGTTATTCATCCATTCCTGCTTGACCTATATCAAAAACACAATTAGTTGGTTATTTAAATTCCTCTTCACCTACTACATGATGTAATTTAGGATCTTCAAGCAAAAAACTTGTTAGTTCTTATTTTACATGTACCATCCACCAGAGTTGTAATGCTAGTTTATCATAATATACCGTTTCCTTTTTGCTTCACATATCGAAGCGCTTAATTATTTTTTAAAATTTCAAGGGAACTTGCAACAAGTACAAAGCATCATGGCCTCTACAAATGGACTATCAAATGCTCATATTAAGCAACCTCTCTTCTCATTCGGGGTCATTACTGATGTTCAATATGCTGATATTCCTGACGGTCACTCATTCCTGGGCGTCCCTCGGTACTACCGTCATAGCATCCAGGTCTTGCAAAGGGCTGTCAGCCATTGGAACAACCTCAAGAAACTGAATTTTTCCATGAACTTTGGTGACATTGTTGATGGATTCTGTCCCAAAGACAAGTCACTGACCGCCGTCCAGAAGGTTCTAGATGAATTTAATAGTTTCCATGGACCTGTCTATCACATGATCGGCAATCACTGCCTATACAATCTCCTTCACAGTGACCTCACAGCTTTGTTCAAGATTCCCTCTCTCCATGGTGAGGCATACTATGAATTCTCGCCGTCGCCGGAGTACCGGTTCGTTATTTTGGATGCATATGATATCAGTGTTCTTGGAAGGCCCCATGATGATCCAAGAGCATCTGCAGCTTTTAGGTTCCTTAAAGAGAAGAACCCCAATACTGATAAAAACAGCCCGGTTGGATTAGCAGGTCTCGAGAAAAGGTTCTTGATGTTCAATGGAGCTGTAGGAGAAAAACAACTAGAGTGGCTTAATAATGTACTTAAGGAGTCTACTGAACATGGGCAGAAGGTGATTGTAGGTTGCCATCTACCTCTAGATCCTAATAGTGCTACCCCAGCGTCTCTTTTGTGGAACTATGAGGAAGTGATGGAGGTGATACACAGATATAGATGTGTGAAGGTATGTTTTGCAGGTCATGATCATAAGGGCGGTTATTCGGTTGATTCGCATGGCGTCCATCATCGCGTGCTCGAAGCTGCTCTCGAATGCCCCCCTGGCTCTGATGCTTTTGGTTATGTGGATGTCTACCATGATAGGCTCTTCCTTGTTGGCACTGATAGAATGGCCTCTACTGAGATGATTTTTGAATCATGATTGTTGTTCATTATGCTTCCCCTTTTTTCAAATTTATTTTGTTATTATCATAGTATAAGAGGGGATAGTTCAGTTAATTTTTCCCAGCTGCTGATTGAAGGTTGGGGAAAATGCTTCCTCTATGTCATACATATATATAGCTTAGTTTAATGGTATCACTAAGTTTCACTGTGCTGTAACTTGAAAAAATATAATCAAAGTTGTTCCCTTTTCATTGCCATTCAATGCACCTTCCATCGATTAATTATTTTGTGTGGACGCCGAATTTTTAAGGAGACCAATCAGAATGCACCACATCATTCCATCGTTGTGTACCGTAACTCGGTATTGCTCGGTACCGCTGACGTGGCTGCAGTTGATTCTCCTCCGGATATAGAGCTGCATCTGACCTCCGCACATAATAATAACTCCCTTCTACCACTATAATCAGGTGAAGAGTTTCGGCAGCCATTTGCCCAGTCCCATTGCCTCTTTTCAAGATTGGATGATTAGAATCTAACAAGCTAACCAATGAGTCAGCCTCATATTAGATTGAGTTTAATTTGAATCATTGAGTTTTGGCATGATAAGCATGCATGCATATTATACTATGAATTTATCTTAATAGATCAAAATTTGATATAAATTAAATTGGTTTTCGCTCGAATATGTTAGCCATGAGTATCTTAAACCAATTTCACTTATTACTAGATTTGATTTGACTATAGATCGATCCAAATGACTTCAAGATAATCATGATTTGAAATGAATGTAATTTATGAATAATTAATTAATTTAAATCTATCTTTTAAATCAATCGTGGCCAAATTTTAATTAATTTTTCTCACTTTTTCCATTTTTTTATGGTCATTTTAAACACAATAGAGTTAAAAATCTCACAAGTTTATTAAATTAAAGTTAAAAATCCACATAACGTTCGCACTTTTTACCTTCTAACGTTAAACAAAGAACAAACCAGAATCAAATTTGCCACGGTTATCCCAAAATACTTAATAGAATCACCACCAATAGCATCATAATATCATCATCTATATCACAACTTAAAATTACTCGAACTGACATTCATAAACTAATAAACAAATATTAAGAAAAGTAGATAGAGAGGAAAAAAAAAAAAAAAAAAACTAAAAGGAAAAGCACTTCCATTTGCTAACGTAAAGGTATCAGAAACAAGGTAAGATATCATGCAGAAGGTAAACTAACAAATGGAAATTTCAACTAAAGTAGACAACTTGACGCTTGGCTTAACATGCAAAAACTTCCAAGTCTTACAGCAAACCAAGGTAGCCATGAATTATGTCACCTTTGTTCCAACCCTTCCAGTTAGGTTAGTTGCTGAATGTTGGGAGTCTTTGCCACCTCGCAACCGGTCCAAATTTGAGCACACTGATTTTGCTTACATTTACACTTTAGCGCTCAACATTCTAAAAAAAAGAAAGAAAAAAAAAAAAAAAGAAAAAAAGAGAAAAGAGCAGAGCCTTCAGATTCAGCATAAAAAATATTAATGGCCCCAGAAGAAATATAAGCTCCTTCACCATCTTTCCCCGGATTTTGGCCTGCCAAGAATGTAGATAAGCTATCTTCGGTTAGAAACTACAGTAAATTAAGAATAAACCATCTGATTGCATGTACTGTAAAAACAACCTACTAAAACCTATGTTGCACCGATACGGATACGACACGGATACGAGACATGTCAATTCTTAAAAACACAGGATACGGGTACGGCGCGAACACGGCATTATAATTTATAAATCATATATAAAAATTAAGAAAGCAATCAAAGCATCATATTTGAAATTACAAAAAAAATGAAAGCAACATTATTTGTAGCCTTGTATCTTATGATATCAAAATAAAAGTAAGCATTAAATGTCTAGTACAACAACAAAAGCATAAACATAAATTGTCTAGCACATGAAGTTTCAACTATTCAATAGAAGGAATGATATGATTAATTTCTTCAATGGTTTGTCTTTGAAGTTCTATATCATCTTCAATAAATATCATAGCTTCTAATTCAGGCTCATCAAGTGAAAGATTAGCAATTTATAATATTCCCATATTATTAAGAGACTCAAATCTATCTTGAAAATGAGAGAACCTCACTCGTAGCTGCGGAAGTAAATACGTTTTTTTTTATTATGTTTTTTTTTTTTTCAACAGATACGCGTATCGTGTCCTTTTGAAATTAAATAGTATTTTAATTGGATACGGCTTTGCCTATCTAACACGTATTGGTGTCGTATCGGAGGCGTAACCGTGTATCGGTGTATCGGATACAACTCGCCTTTATAAATAGGTGTATCGGTGCAACATAGACTAAAACTAAGGTATCGGCAGAAGGAGAATAAAAAAAATGATTAACAATAAAGTATACAGAAAAAAAAAAAAGCTTCTCAGTAAAGTACTAGATTGAAAATACAAAGAGTCATGCTATCAGATATTTTCATTCTTATGCATGACACATAAAAAAGATCAAAACTGTTGTTCTTAAAGTCAACTATCAGCCATGATTTGCTAAATCTAAAGGACGACAATAGTACGAGAAAAGGCATAAGAATTTACATACCTATCCATGTTCCTGCTGGCGTGAAGGGTTGAATCCCTGTTTGATTGGAATCCCCGTTTTTCAATGAAGGGTCTGTACCATGAATCACCCGTCCCTCTAGATCGAGGCCTGTCTACAAACTCGGTCTGCCTTGAATCTTCTGAAAAGCCAGTCTGCACTGATGGCTTCTCTGCAGAGAAAGGAGTTCTTCGAGATCCAGAACCAGGCCTGCCATTAGCAAAGGCTCTCTGACCAAACCGCACCTTATCATCTAATTCGCGTATTAGATTTTCCAGCTCTTTCTCCATCTTCCTTATTTGCTCAAGCAAGATATCGTATTGTTCAGTAGGAAGATGCGAGGAATCACCATTCACATTATCCTCAGTTTCCTTAGCAAGTTCCTTCTTCAGATTATCAATGTCTTCTTTCAGTTTCTTTTCTTCTTCAGTCTCAGACCTGTCATGTTTGACAAGTCAACATGATAATGTAAATTATTAATAATCCAATGAGGTTAGATAAATCATCTAAGTAAATATAATGAAATAACAAACTTGGAATATTAAAGAAAATTCAACTAAAAAAAAAAGTTCCGGGTAAAAGCCAAATATAATTCCTAACGATTTATGTGTGATCAATTTAGTCTTAGAAGTATCACATTTCCCCAATTTAATCCATCAAATGTATAAAATTAATCTAAAATGATCCCTCAGAACTAAATTGAGATCAATTTTATATAATTGAGATCTAAATTAGGATCAATTTTTCTGTAATTTCTACGTGATGGATCATTTGAAATCATTTTTATATTTTACAGATGGATTAGATCTGAATGTAGCAAAATAGATACATTAGCCTAATAAAGGACAAAAAATGTCTTGGATTTGCCTCAATTTTAAACTTTTAGTATTACTAATTTGAATACCTGTCCAGAGAGTGACAAATACATTCAAATCTTCTATACAGAGACCATGCACCTTAAAATGAGCATATATAAGATTTTGTGATGGATACTTCCATGCTTATTAATTCACAAAATGTGTCACCTACAAATCAGTTTATCTACCATTATTACGCCACGCATGGCCAAGATTTAGGCAAAGCTCAACCTTGAGATGTTTTTCATATCAATGCTACTACACCAACAGAACGAATAAAATCAAAATTATCAGAGAAAAAACAAACAAACAGGTACAAAATGAAGCTAAAATGACAGTCAAAAGTCCAATCTTCAACGTAGAAAAAGCACAAGAAAGAAACAGATGGCTTGCCTTCTAAGGAGCTGCACCCTTGAACTACTCTTTGCACTATCAAAGCAATCATCGCATTCAATAACTCAGCTTGAAAAAAATCCAAGAGAACAGAGAAAATAAAAACTATGGGCTACATGGAATCATTTTTATTTTTTTTGTTTTTTTTTTAATTTTAAAAATAAGTTAAGTTACTTTTAAAAACACATAAAATAATTTTGAGGAATTTTGAATATTTTTAGAAACAATTATTACAACTAGCCGCAAGCACCACCGTCGTCAACGACCATCATTATCATGACTTCACAACCTATTGTAGCTAACTAGAGAGTAGAGACTGCTGCCACCACCTCATAAATCAACTTTTATTTTGGGGAAAATTAGGGGCAATCATGCCCCATAAATCAACTTATTGGATATCAATCAAAAATATTTTTAAGATAACAACTATATTTTATTTTATGTCAAAACATAAATAAAATAAAATAAAATAAAAAATAAAAAGTAAAGTCATCACAAATAGCTCTTTAAGCTACCAAAAGGTGCATAGGTACTAGCACTGTAGCCAAGTAATATAATTTTGTAAAAAAACTCAAGAGAAGTGAAAAAGAGGGCTTTTTTTCTTAAATGAACATTCGCAAAACCTACTTTGTTAAAGGGACAAGTCTTCATCATATTCAGACGACTGTGAAAAGTCCAATTAATAATGTATTAGAACAAACCAAATGAGTGTGCACAGCTTTAACAGTTTAGCTTACGCATTCACATGCAACACCAGGTAAAGCAAAACGCAAGATCCCGATCCAAAACGTAAAATTAACAATATTATATCTCAAATATGGCCAAAGACTTCATGAAGCATGATAAATGGCAAGCTCTGACAGTATATCAATGTTAAGGTACTGAGGTAGTAAAAACTATCCATGGTTAAGGATGATGAAATCCAAATAGAATCATAAACCCATGCTTCCTATCGTGCAAGATGCCGCGCTTTTCTTCCTGAGAAGGATTATTTGCACGAAAATGCTAGATCAAGCCGTGCATGTAGAAAATCATAAGCCTATAGTAACCCTGAAATAGATACTCAATAGAACAGAGAAATATTTGAAATTGTTGCAAGTAATATGATTGGATAAAGATCAACAAAACCCAACCTTTCAATCCCACGATGCTCCAGTTCCTGATCAATCTTCCTCCAATCCATTCCCTTCTCTTCCAAAAGAACCTCCCGAGGTTTTGCATCTCCGAAAGGATTAACCTTAGGCCGAAGCTTTGGCACCCCTCCTTCTGATGAAGCCTGTGAGCCCGAACTCCCAGGCCTGCTTGACTGCGCACTGGATGTCCTGCTTGAATAAGAGTCTGTGAAGCCACTAGTCTTCTTCATTTCTATATCGATTTCCATCTTCTTCCAATCCACCCCCTTCTCAGCCAACACCTCCTCCCTTGGCCTTGCAGCAGCAAAAGGACTCGGCCTGCTACGCGCAGGCTCTGGCTGTGATTCAGAATCTGTTTTTGGAGGATCGAGTACAAATCTCGGCCTTTCTCTCTCCCCATTCCTCGGAAAAGGCACGCTTCCTTTATCCCAACGATCAGAATGCATCCCCGACCCGAAAGAGTCCCGAAATCCAGATCCAAAGCCAGAGTTCCTAGAAGCAGGATTGACAGATTTCTTTCCTAAAGACCAATTATCAACCTCGTCCGCCTTGGATGTGCCCAGGGAACCGTAACGATCTGGCCGGCAGGAATCCATGGAAAACGGCTTCTTAAAATGAGACCAGTTATCTACCTCATCAGCCCTCGAGGGACGATCGCGATCTGAGTCCTTGGTAAATTCCTCACTCAGGTGGCGAGGAGGAGCGCCGCCGCCATAACCATTAGAACGAAAGCCACCACCGAGGCGTAAATGATCTATCTCATCAGCCGTGCGTTGACGGGGACCAGTAGGAAGGCGGGCCATCTCTTCGACTGTGAGACCATTGGAATCGAACGTGGGCTTGCGAAGAGCACCTCCAGGGCCGACGTAGTTGCCGGAGGTGAACTCGGAAAGCGTAAGAGAGACGCCTTTCTTCTTCTTAGGTTTTCTTGCTCCTTCCTTGAGGCTTGGAAAGCCCTGCATTGGCTCATCGGCGAGGAAAGTTGGACGGGCGGTAGAGGAGTCCGCAGCAACGCGTTCATTCTCCTCTGCCTCGGCTCGTTCAGCTTCGAGAGCCCAAGTACCGATCCCGCTCCAGGCTTTAGTCAGATTTGCCACCGTCATCGTCGGATGTGAGATGAGGAGGAGAAAGCGAGAGCTTGATGGGTTTAGGGTTACGTGAGGTAATCGGTTGAGGAAGCGAGAAACAGGCGTAGTGGGAGAAGGGAACGCGGACGTGTATTTATAGCAGATTTGATTCTGAGCTTCGTTTAATTATTCGATTTTATTTCCTAATTTTCATAACTAATTCTTTCCAAAAATAAAATAAAAATTATAAAACTACTTTTAATTTGTTATATATATATTTATATGAATTACAATTTCTGTTATGAGAGACCTGAAAAATATAGGCGAAATAGTTATGGTAGTTAGGCATTAATGTCGATCTATGACTTGCAAAAATGATCAAGCTAAGAAGATTACTGATATTAATTAATGATAGGTATAGTCGTTGGGGGACTATAGAGTCACATAGATTGTCAGGAGATTATGATAGATAAACATTGAAGGTTTTTGCATCAAGGAGTATTCACGGCGGCAGAGCAATACAAAATTTAACATCTTAGTTTTGTACTAAAATTCTAATACGCAAACAGATGAAAGATAGATATGTAGTATTTATAACCGGCACAAGAGTTTTTACATTAAAATTTTTGAAAATGGGAAAAAACCATGGGGTCTTACTTAGTTTAAATGAATCCATTAGTGTTCGCAATTGATTACAAATGAGGCATTCATTGGAGGTAAGACCTTGGCTTGATGTAGCAAATATACATCATATATAGTGCATTACAAGTAAGAGTTTGAAGAATCAGTGTTGACATGTTCGTTTGGTTGGCAAGATCATAGTCGACGAGCTATGTAGGTCGGAAGGACGGTAGTCGAGCGATGGTGGTCGAAAGAGCCGTAGTCAGATGACAAAGGTCGGAAAGACTATAGTCAGGTGATGGCGATCGAAATGACCATAGTTAACGGTCAACGAAGGTTAGAAAGATTGTAATCGGGTGATGGTGGCGGAAGGACCATAGTTGCTGGGCGACAGAGGTCAGAAAAATCATAATTGGGTGACAATTGTCGGAATGATCGTATTTAGGTCACGACGGTCAAGGAGACCATAATTTGGAGATAGTGGTCAGAGAAACTATAGTTGGCGGGCGACGAAGGTCAGAAAGATTATAATCATGTGATAGTGCTCGGAAGGACCGTAGTCATATGACGACGATCGGGGAGACCGTAGTCTGAAGATGCTGGTTGGAGAGATCGTAGTCGGTGTCAGAAAGGTCGTAGTTGAGCGAAAATGTCGGAAGGACCGTAGTCAGACAATGGAGATCGGAAAGACCGTAGTTGGCGACTGTGGTTAGAAAGATAGTAGTCGTCGGGCGACAGTGGTCTGAAGGACCAAAGTCTAGTTATGGTCGGTGGCCAGAAGGAAACCTAGCTATAATCAGTGGTCGGGCGGAAGTCCGACGAAAGTCCAATGTCGATCGTTGATTAGGCGATGGTCAAGGAAGAGCTTGGTGGCAAGAGAGATCACATATTATATTCTTTCTTCCTCTTTTCCTCCCACTCCCCTTCTTGGTCCCCTCTTTTAGAGAAGAATGAGGGGACTATTTATATTTTTTTTAGTGGCATGACCAGTAAATAAGAAGAAGATCAAGGGCATGCTGGTGTGTTGCAAATGGATGGTTGATATTGACTCCCTTAATTAAGGACCATTTATTTAGTATTTAAGTGTCTTGATGATGTTAAAATTTGGTGATCTTAGGCTCGTTAGATTTGTCTTGTTGAGCCGCTCGATTCAATTATAAACATGTTATATTTGGAAATCATTTGGTCATCCAATTTATAGTTTGAACCTTCCAAATGTACTTTGGGTTTTTGAGTTAGACCCATTTGGGCTCAGATTGGGTTGAATTTGATGTCATTGGGTTTGTCTTTTTGAAACGTTCAGTTCGACTATAAGTTTGTCGAAATCGGAGTTCAGATGTCTCCTAATTTAATTTTAGAAGTTTTCAATGTGATTTTGCCTCGAGATTTATGCTCGATCAAGATAGTTCTTTAATGATGTATAAGTTGCCCATCTATTTTTGGACATCAAAAGTCAATAGAGTTCAAAAATATGTATCAAAGCTCTTCAAATCATTCCAATGCAAAATTATATTGTTTGAGTAATTTTGAGAAACAACTTTTCCTTGGATATATGTGGACATCCCCTTGGAGTCGTGAACAAAGTAAAATATACTTAATCATAATTTTAATATGTCTCAAAGATAGCGTAAAGATTGGAGCACAAAATCTAAAAAAAAATCTTTCCAAAATTCTTGAAAATGTTCAAAATTGACTATAGAGGCTTTGTTGGGCCTTAAAAAAAAATAGCTTGAACATAAAAAAATGGTCTCGGGGACCTGAAAAAAGTTCAAATCAGACTGTCCGGACAGAAATTTGAGCCCGAACGTGACTTGGTAGCCAAACCGGCTTGGTACCGAGCGCTATGCGCTGCCTGCCTCCAGCTAGTCAGCGCATGCACGAAGCAGGGCGGTACTATAGCCACCGCCTTCTGAAACCGCGGGGCGGCAAAAGTGCCGCCACCCCTTTTACCTTTTTTTTAAATTATATTATTATTATAGAATATATTTATTATTATTTTTTATTATTTTAAATTTTTATTTTATTTTTAACTAATTTTTTAAAGAATATTCTTCTTAGAATAGTTTTATTCCCCAAAAATATTCTCAAAATATTCTTATTATTTAAGAATATTATGATTATCCCAGAATATTCTTTTTCTCCACTTTTTTAAAATGCCCCTTTGGGGGTAGGGGAAGGTTGCCCCTTCTTTTTTTATCTTTTCTTCCAACAACCTTCTTATAATAGAGGCCTTCCACTATCATATCCAATACCCCTCTTTGTGCAAAAGGAACATTCTCCCTTAAACTTTTTCACATATTAGAGTCTTTCCACTAAATTTGGATAGGCGGCATCCGCTATCTAACTTCAGTGCCCCTCTATGTGTATAAGGGGATTTTATGTCCTTCCATCTTCTTTTCACTCAAACTTCTTCCCATAATAGAGGCATTTCATTATTTTTAATAGGCAGCATCCCCTATCAAGCTTCAATACCCCTCTTTGAGCAGAAGAAGTTTATCTTATCTTCCACATTCTTCTACCTCATACTCATTCTTATATTAGAGTCTTTCCACATACTTGGATTGGTAGAATCATTTATCAAGCTTTAGTGCACCTCTTTTTATAGAAGGATTCTTGATGAGCTTTACTCTCTCTCAAAAGATTGCCCATGATACAAAAAGATCAATCACCTTTTGTATGAGAGGATAGTTTGAAAAGATCTGATAGTAGTAGCACCCAGAAGGAGAACCAGTGATTGATGGCAGACGAGTTAAGTTTTGATTGTGATTGAGCGAAAGTCCGGAGGCGATCAGTGGCTAGATAAAAGTCCAGTGGCAATCGATAGCCAGGTGAAAGTTTGACAGCAATCGATGATTAAGTGGAATTATGGTGGCAGTCGATGGCCGGGTGGTGGCTAAAGGAGCTAATTGAAGGGTGTGTTGCTAATAGTAGTTAGGCGAGAGGCCAAGGATGGCTAATATGAGGTGAAGGGCCGACGATGGCCATCATGCAAAGGGCCAATGATGGCAGTGGTCAAGTTGTATTCTATTAAAAGTATTAGGCATCCATATTGATGGGAGGTGAATAATGAACAACCTGATAGATGTGGTTTGGTTATGCGTTGATGGCACTAGTTTAAAACATATTAATGGTACCAAATGAGTGAATGTTTGTATCGTCTTTGATCTTTTCTTTGATGTGGTTTTTAAGAAGTTTGATGTACAGAATGATGCGCTGATCATTACCCTTAAAAGGTCTTTTCACATGCTCCTCCACTAGAAATCATTTTAGTATACTGGATAATGTTGATGAAAGCACTATAATCTTCTTCACTTGAAGATTCTTGTATTAGATGAAGATGATTGTATGATTAAATATGATGTAAGACTATACTATATGTACATTCAATAATATTATATATGAATTTGAGATGTTTTTATAAACTTGATGCTTACTTCTAATTAATTTGAATTAATGATTGATTTATCTTTATGTAAAAAACTAAGTTCTTCATGTATTTTGGAAATATGCATTGATATATTTCCCCCCTAGATAGAGCAACTAGATTAGAGAAATTTATCCCTTTTATGGCATTTAGTCTTCTGAAAATTTTAAATAATTTGAGAAATATATATATTCTAAGGTATTTAGCCTTCTGATATTTTGATGTATTTGTAATTTTTGAGGCTTTTAGCCTTTTATGATCTTTTGTATACATGTGCTTTTTAAGGCTTTTAGTCTTCTAAAGTCTTTGTATGGTGGTGACACTGTCAACCATTTGCTCTTATAAAGTCTTTCTAGTGAGGATCTTGTCCACTACTAGCTTCACTTTGAGGCTAACCCATCGCCTTCTTAAGATTGTCTGTTAAAGTGTAGCTTTGTATTAAAAAGTTGGAAAAATTCACAAGGGATATTTGACCTAATCAAGATTTTTTGTCAAAGCATTGCTCGATGTTGTTAGTCTATGTAGAGGAGGTTGAGAGAATATGCCAAGGATGTATGACCTATATGAGGTTATTTTTTAGAGTATTACTCAATGAAATTAGTCTATATTGAAGAGGCTAAGAGAATCCGCCAAGGATGTAAAATATATCCGAGATTGTTTGTCAGAGCATTATTCAACGACGTTAATATGTATGAAAAAGGTCGGGAGAATTCGCCAATGATGTATAACTGATCCATTGTTATTTGTCAGAGCATTACCCGAAGATGTTAACCTATGTGGAATATGCCAAAAGAATCCACCAAAAATGTATGACATATCCGAGGTTATTTATTAGAGCATTACTCCATGATATTAACCTATGTGAAAGAGGTCGAATCAAATTCTCTTGGGATCAATTATGCCTTGATATGTGTATCTCAAATCGAAGGTGAAGAATGATCTATCTTTAGACTGTTACTGCCATTTGAGGTCAATGTTAAAATCTTGCTCAATGAGTTGAAGTCCAGTTAGGGCTTTTGTAGATCTTGAAATTTATTGGAAGCTTTCTTATATTTACTAGGAGATTTACAAAGAATGATTTCCAAAGATATTGCCTTGAATGTTGGTTGGAGCAATTTTCTTAGCCATGTATGTAGTCAAGGTTGACCCTAATCGGTGTGGGTCTTTCTTAGGGGGAAGGCCTTATGTTGCAAATATACATCATATAGAGTGCATTATATGGTGGGAGTTGGATCGGTGTGGACATGTTCGTTTGGTCGGCAGGATGATAGTCGGTGAGCGATACAGGTCGGAAGAACCATAGTCAGTCGATAGTGGTCGGAAAGACCGTAGTCTAATAATGGAGGTCGGAAAGACTATAGTTGGGTAATAGTATGAAGGACTGTAGTTTGCAGACGATAAATGTTAGAAAAGCTATACTTGGGTAGCAGTGGTTGGAATTAACATAGTAGGTGGACGACATAGGTCAGAAAGACCATAGTCGTGTGACAGTTGGTGAAAGGAACGTAATCAGGCGATGGTGGTTAGGGGGATCATAGTCAAGAGATGGTGGTAGGAGAGACCGTAGTGGTGGATGATGGAGGTCGGAAAGACTATAGTCGGGAGATGATGGTCGGAAGGACCGTAGTCAAGTAATGATGGTTGGAAGGACCATAGTCAGACAACAGAGGTCAGAAGGATCGTAATCTGGCGAAGGACAATGACCATGAGTAAATCCTGCAATAATCAGTGGCCATACGTAAGTCCGGCAATAGTTGGTGGTCGAGTGAAAATCTGACGACTATCGGTAGTCGGTCAGTGGTCGATGAGGATAAGAGAGATCACATATTCTCTTCCCTCCTCTTTTCCTCACCCTCCTCTGCTTGGTCCCCTCTTTTAATGAAGAATGAGGGGTCTATTTATAATTTTTTTTGGAGTGACATGACAAGTAAATAGGAAGAAAGTCAAGGGCATGTTGAGAGTGTTTGGAATGGATGGTCAATATCAACTCCCTTGATCATGGACCATTCATCAAGTATTTAAGTATCTTAATGATGTCAAAATTTGACGATCTTGGGCTCATTGGATTTTTCTCCTTGAGCCGCTCAATTTGGTCGTCCAATTTATATTTTGAACATTCCAAATGTGCTTTGGGTCCTTGATTTGGACCCATTTGGGCTCGAATTGGGCTGAATTTGATGTTATTGGGTTCTTCTTTTTTAGACGTTCAATTCGGCTACAAGTTTGTTTAAATCAGAGTTCAGATGGCCCATATTTAATCTCAAAATTTTTCAATGCAATTTTGCCTCGAGATTCATGCTCGATCAAGATAATTTTTTGATGATATATTAAAGGTAGAGTTATAAAAGAAATTCTAGATTGATATTCTTGATCGGTGACAAGGAAGTGAAATTGATTGTTATTGGCGATCATAATGTTTATTAATGGACAAAGCTTTAAAATGGCCCCCATTAATAATTTGATATTTTATAAACATTTAGTGCCTTAGTGGCGTCGAAATTGAGCGATTTTGGGCTCGTTAGATTTTTGTCATTAAAATGCTTTTTTTTTTTATTATAATTTTATTAAAAATGAAGTTTGAATAATCCCAAATTTGATTCTAAAAGTTTCTAAAACAAATAGTTGAGTCAAGATACAAGTTTCAAAAGTTGATTTTCTGATATCTGTTTGACATATTCGACTTTGAGAATGAATACAAAACTTTGATTATTCTTTTCTTGATTGTGAGGAAGGTGGCGTCAAGATATGTCTCTTATTAATACTAGTATAAATGCATGTGCACATGATGCACGTCAATAAAAATTTTAATATAAAGAATTATATAATAAAATTTAAAATTAATTTATGACAAGTTATATCAATCTTTATCTATCAAAAAAAAAAGAAAAAAAAGAATATATTAAATCATTATAAGAAAATTAAGCACAACTTTATCAACATCCAAACATGCAATCCCATTAAATTATTTACATAAGCAAACTATTCTAATATGAGGTCTATAGGAACCAAATGTCTGAAACGATCAAGCAAATCTTGAGAGATACAATATAACAAAAAGATTTAACGATAGCCAAACCAAATTAAGAATGATGTATAATTGCAGTATGAACAACAATAGCTCACCATGTCATAATCTAGTGGTAATGATGGACATTTCTCATTCATGTGAAGATATGACTGCATAATATTGTATCTAGATAGTTCCAGATTGTATCTTCCTTTAATTTGACAAAAAGAAAGCTTCAATGTCTTTTTGTTGCACCACTCAAGTAGTCGACTATAGTTGTTCTCAAAGAAATTTAGTGTATAAGCATCTTTAATCTATCATAAGAGAAATTCAACATTATGAGACTTTGACTTAGATATGCAGATTCTATTAGAATCCATGCATGACAGAAGATGGTTAGTAGTAAACTCAACCGCTATAATCATTATCAAAATACTGAATGCCACAATATAAGTTATCATCTCTTTTTAGACTAAATAATTCTCATAGTTGGTCGAACTAAATGAAACAAAAGACTAAACTCTTGAATATTAGTTCAAAACATGGGTTTTAGACTAAATATTGGTATAAAGTACGACAACAACAACAACAACAAGTATGTATCCTACTACGTGGGATCAACTACATGAAGCTTTTTCCTTCATTGTATCATATTAAGAGTAAATTTCTCATTTAAATCTAATACAAAATATCATTTTTAATACTTTCTAACCAAAATTTTTTAGGCCTACATGTACCTTACTTAACATAGGCCGAAGCTAATACATCTACTCTACTAACAAGATCATCTGCATTGTACAAAGTACTGGATAATTAATTACCTGCTGGAAAGATATTTTCATTTTCAATTCTTTGCACCACCACCACCAACAATCTAACAAGAATAATATACTAATAAAAAGCAACTTAAATAATTTTTTGTATATCCCATTTGTATGAACATGATAAACAGCTTGGATTTTAGACATCCTCATGAAAGATAAAATTGTCAAATAGAGCAACAAAATACTAAATGCACGTGCACAAATGCACTAAATGCACGTTGCTAAAAAATGAATGAAGATAGTGCAGTGCACTTATGTCATTGAAGAATCAAACAAGGATAATCAATTTTTTTTTAATAAAATAAAAAAAATTGCTCTTGATCGATCCCAAACAATTCAATAAATATGAATGAATCACATAATCAAGTGCACAACTTGCACATTAACACGAATTCAAAATTAATAGAAATATTATAAAAAAATAATATAAAAAATTGAACATTACTAATAACAATACAAATATTTAGCTGAGAAATTTTTTTATATATTAAAAATACTTTTTAAATTAATTTGCATAATGATTATATATTTTTAGATTTATTAATTATTTATAATACAATTAATGGACAAGATAATTTCAAAAAAAAAACACATGGCAAAGATTTGAGGTTGAAGAAAAATCAAGTGGCTTTTTATAATAGTAATATAGATGATGTGATTTTATGATATTTATGAGTAATATTTAGTTTCATGCTATTTTAATAGTGCTTTATTTTGAATAACATTGATAGTTAATATTAATTTAATCTAAATAGCAGCAAATTTGTTGCTATTTAAACTATCTCAATCTTGATGATTAAATTAAAAAAACCTTAATTACTATTAATTATTTTAAATAGTATTTCATTAGTGGGATAATTATTAGATGACTATTAAATTTATAAATATGTAACTTTTCCATCAAAAATTAAAATGAAATGATATTAAAGCAACGTTACAACTTGTAAAATATAATATTATTATTGAAATAACATTTTTTATCTAAATAAAATAAATATTAAATGATATTTATAGAGGAGCCAATGCCAAAATCAGAAAAGAGAGGAATGTTAAATGCCACGACTCTCGTCGCACTCCACATGACTAGCTGTGGTCACTGTGAAGTTCCAGCCGAAATCAGCCCGCGGACCGAACCAAATCCAACCCAATTCTCGCCCTAAATCGAAGCCTCCCAACTCCAAATCGATCATAAACGCTGCCATTTTGCCGATCGAGGCTGCTCCACTCCCCGCCCCAAGTTCCAGATAAGAACTCGCTCGACTCTCTCAACTCCTATCCCCATGGCATCCATATCCCTCGTTGGAGCCGCACCGGCGACCACCGCCTCTAAGATTCTTTTCCCCTCTACCCTCAAGCCGGTGGCCGCCCTTTCTTCTTCCTGGTCTCTACGAGGTGCCGCTCTAGCCGCCGTCGCTGCTACTTCTCGATCGGATCTCCCCCTCGGCCGTGGTAGCCTCCTTGTAGTCCGCGCCGCTCGCGGCAAGTTCGAGCGCAAGAAGCCCCACGTAAACATCGGAACCATCGGCCATGTCGACCACGGAAAGACGACCCTTACCGCAGCGCTCACTATGGCTCTTGCCTCCCTCGGTGGCAGCACCCCCAAGAAGTACGACGAGATTGACGCGGCCCCGGAGGAGCGCGCCCGCGGCATTACCATCAACACCGCCACCGTCGAGTACGAGACCGAGAACCGCCACTACGCCCACGTCGACTGCCCTGGCCACGCCGACTACGTCAAGAACATGATCACTGGAGCCGCCCAAATGGACGGCGCCATTCTTGTCGTATCCGGCGCTGATGGTCCCATGCCCCAAACAAAGGAGCATATTCTCCTTGCGAAGCAGGTCGGCGTTCCTAACATGGTCGTTTTCCTCAATAAACAGGACCAGGTCGACGACGAGGAGCTCCTCCAACTGGTCGAGCTTGAGGTACGTGAACTCCTCACGTCGTACGAGTTCCCCGGCGATGACGTCCCCATCGTCTCTGGCTCCGCGCTTCTTGCCTTAGAGGCCCTAATGGCTAATCCCAAAATCAAGCGAGGGGATAACGAGTGGGTCGACAAGATCTACCAGTTAATGGACGCTGTTGATGACTACATCCCCATTCCGCAACGGCAGACGGACCTACCCTTCCTCCTCGCCGTTGAAGATGTCTTCTCCATCACTGGGCGTGGCACCGTCGCCACGGGACGTGTTGAGCGTGGCACCATCAAGGTGGGCGAAACAGTCGACCTTGTTGGCCTCCGTGAGACTAGGAACACCACAGTAACTGGTGTTGAAATGTTCCAGAAGATCCTCGATGAAGCTCTTGCCGGCGACAATGTAGGCCTTCTTCTCCGTGGCATACAGAAAGCAGATATTCAGCGAGGAATGGTCCTCGCCAAGCCTGGAACCATTACTCCTCACACTAAATTCCTTGCCATTGTCTATGTGCTGAAGAAGGAGGAGGGAGGCCGACACTCACCGTTTTTCCCTGGGTATCGGCCGCAGTTCTACATGAGAACCACGGATGTCACTGGGAAAGTGACTGGTATCATGAATGATAAGGATGAGGAGTCGAAGATGGTTATGCCCGGAGACAGGGTGAAGATTGTTGTGGAGCTTATCATGCCTGTGGCCTGTGAACAAGGAATGAGGTTTGCCATCAGAGAGGGTGGGAAGACGGTTGGAGCTGGTGTTATCCAGACCATTATTGAGTGATGTGGTCGTTTGTTTCATTAACTCGGGTTTACAGGGGCTGCTGCTCGGATTCATGTAAGTTTAATGATGTTTCAGTTGAATTATGCAGAATCATGATGCAATAGTCCAAGATCCACCACTGCTATATATTCTTTTCGTTTTGTTTTTTCTTCTTCTTTCTTGTGGCGGTGATGACCTTTGAATGCTTAAAGTAATGGAAACTCTGGAATTGTATTTTATTCATTGCTCTGGTTTTGCTGATTTTTGGATTTCGTGGGAATTTTGTGTAAAACTGTTTAAGTAAAAGTAGTTAAACTCTTAAATATTGAATCGATTTTTGATGTAATGGTTGGAATTTTATTAAGAAACTCTGTCGTTAAGCGTGTTCATTTAGGAGGAATCTAGGGATGGGTGACCTCCTGAGAAGTTACATTAACATGATAGAACTGTGAAGCCCTTAGGCTAAAATAGATAATATATCTATAATTAAGAGTTTGAGCTGTTACAAATGACATCAAAGCAATATACTAGCCAGAAGATGAGAACTAAGTGTCATATAAGATAAATTATTACGCCATGAGAGACACCTCTTGAATCTTGTATGAGACAAAATGCTACGTGGTGGGAGTCACCATTTGAACTTGTAAATGTTACTTGTAGAATCTTATATGTCTGGTGGATGATTCTGAGATAAAGATGTTGACGGAGGGCATCCGGTACATAAATAAGGGAAATTGTGAATCTCCTTAAGTAAAAGAAGTCAAACTCTTAAATATCGAGGCATCCAGGAGTATGCTCATTATGGAGAAATCCTGAGAAGTTACAACAACATGATAAAACCATGAAGCCTTTAGGCCAAAGTGAAAAATATCTCTATAATTAAGAGTTTGGACTGTTATATTTTGTTTCAATTACAATCTGACATTTGATAATGCCAGTTTTAATAGGACAAAATGAATTCCAATTAGGCATATAAATAATAATAATAATAACATAGATTTTAGGTCATTATCTTCTAATTGCTATTGCCATTATTATTATTATTGGAGAAATGAAATGCACGCCTACCCAATGACAATAATAACAAATGTTTACAAGTGAAGATAATACAAGGAAAAAAATAAAAAGAAGAAATATGAAATTACATCAAAACTCCCATGTAAAATAATACATTCTCCCAAATTCCAAACTAAGGGATTAGAGAAATAAATATGAGCAATATCAATATCATATTGACCATCCACGATAGTGATTTTTGACTAAGTACAGCTATTCCCATTATAGCTGAAGAAGAGAAGGCACCTGGACTGATCGGCTCTGTCGAGTTGAACTTTAATTTGCATTAAAGTGATAGTCATCCTTGCCCAAGAACGCCAAAAAGGTATAAAGATGTTTTGTGAACCAGAAATAGGGTTAAAATAATCATTACCAATCAGCTATGATCAGACAAAAAACAAAAAAACAAACAGGTAGTACTTTTTGGTAATTTTGCAAGTGATTTTTCACCAAAACTTTCGAGATAACATGCGAGGTGAAAAATGCCAGCAGGAAATGCAGATCTTTAACAGGTTTAAGATAAAATGGAAATTTAAAAAATAGATGTGAGTGCGTTTCAATACACTGATTGCAAAGCACACAAGTAGAATTAAAAGCAAATTCTCTTCCAGTTAAAGAGTCCTCTGTTTTATCCCCATAGATTTGAACCTTCCAGTCAAATTCAGAATATTAAGAGAAGGCAAACCCAAGTCATTTTATTATTAGGCAATGTTGTAGTTTACAATGATATTTTACTGAGTTTATTCACCATACCATTATAAATTTATAATGTAAAAGGCAACACATCAAGCTAGTAATTTTCTTCACGATGCATTTAGATAGAATCATCGATCTGAATTAATATGCAAAGGTAGTTCCAAATTGTTGAACAAAATAAAGGAGAGCAATTGTTTCTTCTAGCCACATAATCGGAAATTAAGGTTTCGTTTGGGATGGCTTTTTTACTGCTTCTTAAAGCATTTTTTAGTAAAAAAATTTAAATTTTTGTACTAAAAAGCTATTTTAAGAAGCAGTGAAAAAGTCATCCCAAACAAAGCCTAAATATGCTTATAATTTGCATACAGTCATTAGCTTTTGATTATGAACAATAATACCGAGTAATTGTAGAAACAAAGAACAAGAACAAGAACCGATAACAGAGAAAAGGGAAAGTAATTTCATTCATTTCAAAGAGATGAGGTACACCCGTATATATAGAGTACGAAGGCTAAGACAATACAAATGTAAACCAATAGCATACTGCCACATCAGCAAGATTAATAATATATTATTTATTTATTTAGTATTATGTTCTAACATTCTCCCGCAATCTGAGGGTCTTGAAGAACCGTTAGATTGTTCCGTAGCTTTAGGAAACGCGGAGTGGATAATGCCTTTGTGAAGATATCCACAGTTTGATCAATCGTGCTGATGGGTAGAAGGCGAATGTTGTTTTGTTGTAGATGATCCCGAATGAACTTCTGACCTTTTTCTATATGTTTGGTTCGGGCGTGAAAGACAGGATTGTTCGTCAGTGCAATTGCGGATGTATTATCACAAAATATGTCTATAGGATAGTTTTGAGGGATTCCAAATTCAGATAGTAGACGGCATAGCCAGATTATGTCTGTTGTTAGAGCGGCAAGTGCACAATATTCCGACTCAGTGGATGATCGGGCAACTGTGTGTTGCTTTTTGACCGTCCAGGAGATGATCATGTCACCGAGGAATGAACAATAGCCTGATGTTGGTTTTCTGGATACTGGATCTCCGGCCCAATCAGCATCTGAATAGGATTTAAGCAGTAGATTAGTTTTTGTAATAGGAATCCCAAAATTGAGCGTACCTTTTATGTAACGAAGACGACGTTTGAGCATATAGAAGTGTTGAGGTTGAGGATCATGCATGTTTTGGGATAGTTGATTGGCATTGTACGCAATGTCAGGACGAGTGAGTGTCAAATATTGTAAGGACCCGGTTATGCAGCGATAGAGCGAATGATCATTGACATGCTTATCGATCGGATATGTGGCTGGGAACTTCGTACATGTCGGATTTGCTAGTGGCTTGTAGTGTAGAAGGTCCATTTGCTGAAGAATTGAAGCTGCGTATGATCTTTGCGATAGGAAATAAGAGTCCTCTTGTTTATCAATCTTCATACCGAGAAACTCATGAACCGCACCTAAATGCTTCATTGAGAAGGTTGTGCCCAGCTTTTTGATAACCGATGATATAGTGGCGGGATTATTACCGGTGATTAGGATGTCATCTACGTAGATCAATTGAAAGATTGTATCTTGTTGTTGGCGAAGGATGAGAAGGGATGGGTCCGATTGGCTACGAGCCTACGAGTAAAGCCTATAGAAATCAAGAATGTAGTGAATGTATTGTACCAATGACGAGGCGCTTGCTTGAGACCATAGATGGCCTTGTGGAGATGACAAATGTGACTTGGAAAATTGGAGTCTTCGAAGCCTTTTGGTTGAATCATGAACACATCTTCAGACAGCTTTCCATGGAGGAACGCATTTGCTACGTCCGACTGATCGACTTGCCAATTATTGTGTAGTGCGAGAGCAAGAAGAATTTGTATGGTCGGTAGTTTGGCCACTGGACTAAATGTGTCCGTATAGTCCAGCCCAAATTCTTGACGGTTGCCTTGAGCGACCAAACGAGCTTTGTACTTTGCAACAGAGCCATCCGCATGAACTTTTGTTCTGTATGTACATTTGCATCCTAGTATCGATGATCCTGACGGTGGTTGAACAAGGCTCCAAGTACCTTGTTGCTGTAAGGCCAAGAATTCTTGAGTCATTGCCACTCGCCACTCAGGAGATTTGATAGCTTGAGCATACGTTGACGGAGTTTCATGTTCCAGAGTGGGAGATTGAGTGTGAAGCAAATTCAAACGAACGACCGGTTTCAGAGATCCAGTTTTGTTTCTAGTTAGGATATGATGCGTAGGTTGCTGGGATCGAATTGGAGAAAGATTAGAAGTATTGTGCTCTGTGTGATGTAAATTCTTAGGAATAGAAGACCTGACAGAAGTAGGAATGGTGTTGTCGTTGGTTTGCGAAGAGGTACTGGCTGTCCTATGAGTGGACAGAGGAATCAGGAGATGAGGTGGCATGTCGGGCAGAGGATTTAGAGGGACAGTTTGATGGTTAGATACCGTAGTGAATGGAAAGAAGTTTTCATCAAACGAGATGTGTCTAGAGATTATAGTCTTGTTGGTTGACATGTCTAAACATTTGTAACCTTTGTAGTTATCCAAGTAATAAAGAAAAATGCATAGGGGGATTTTGGTTAGAGTTTGTGATGTTCACGATTAGGAGAGAGGAAAGCAAGCACACCCAAATGTGCGAAGGTGATGATAAGTTGGTTTGGTGTTGTGAAATAATTCGAAGGAGTCATTTGACCCGTAGTCGGAGAGGGTAAACGATTTATAAGATATATAGAAGTAAGTACAACATCAGGCCAAAACTTGTAAGGAACAGAGGCGGTTTGAAGTAGCGTACGCGAGGTTTCAATTAAATGTCGGTGCTTACGTTCGGCCACTCCATTTTGTTCAGGAGTGTAAGGACATGATATTTGATGTGCGATGCCATGACTACTTAAGAAATGTTCAAAATGATGATTAAGAAATTTGGTTCCGCCATCCGTGCGAAGCATTTTTATGGAATGCGAGGTTTGTTTTTCAATTTGATTTTTAAACGTTACAAATATAATGAAAACCCTGATTTTTGTCTTATCGGAAAAATCCATAAAAAGCGAGAAAAATCATCAATAGAAAGCACATAATATCTGTAACCTTGAGTAGAAACGACGGGGGCCGGACCCCAAACATCAGAATGAATGAGGGACAGGGGAGATGATTGTCTGCTATTGGATTTTTCAAAAACAATTTTGTGGCCTTTAGACTGTTTACATGGTAAGCATAGCGTCTGAGCAGTTTTTATTCTAAGAGAAGGATTACATCTAGCAATTTTACTAAGCACCCGAAAATTGGGATGGCCTAGTTTGTTATGCCATGAAATAGTTTGATCGGTGGAAGCAGCTAAAGCCGAAGTAGATGAAAAGGAGCTGTTGAACCGAATGGGGTAAAGTCATTCTCACATGGTCCGCGAAGCAGCACCTGTTGCGTCTTCATGTCCTTCAAGACAAAACCAGATGGATTAAAGATTATAGAGATGTTATTATCTCTTGTAAGTTTTGAAATTGAGAGCAAATTGTAGTGAAGAAAAGGTGTATGAAATATTTGAGATAAGAAAGCTTACGTGAGGGAGTCGGTAATAGGCATGTACCATTGGCGATGCTAACCGATCTCCCATCTCCTACCGTTACAGTTTTGGATCCTTGGTATGGCGATGCAATGGACATGTTATCCAACGAATTGGTTAGATGATTTGTTGCGCCAGAATCAAGAAACCAATTGGAGTATGAGCTGTCGGAGGTGGCTACGAGAGCGCGGGACGTCTGTTGTTGTGACTGCGGCACGTAGTTTATGTCTAGTCGATGCCAGCAACTAGAGGCAGCGTGACCTCTTGTTACGCCGGCCCAGGAGGGGCCGGCTGGACCGGTCCAACCCGGACCGGTCCGGGTCTTCTCGCGACGGAAACGCAACCCGCAAGCGGAACCGAGCGGAGGGAGCAAAGTCGACGGGGGCCAGGGAAGAATTTTGGGAGGGAAATTTTGAATGCGAGGGGCTGTTTATACATTTTGTAAAACTCCTTTATGGTTAATTAGGAGGTTAGGAGGAAAAGGGGGGGACCTTGCATTTGAATTTGGTTGGGAGATCTAGGGTTTGTGTTCTTGGGCTCTAGGCTACGGCTAGAGATTTGGAGAGTCATTCCTTCCTCTCGGATTGAAGGAAATTGTATCTTTGTTTGTGTTCTTGAATCTACTAGTGAATTATATTGTTTTTCTCCATTTTCCTTGAGTTTTCTCCACTAAAACTGCTGCGATTTGCTGTTTTCCTGCTGAAAACAGCAGTTTTCTCTTGTTTTGGTATTGATTTCGGTTAGGTTTACTTGCGAACCCAAGTATTTCCTATCAAATTGGTATCAGAGCGAAGATCCGGGCGGTGGGGGGCTGTTTTCCACTGTTTCGCTGCAGTTTTTTGCTTCTCGGAAGGGATCCGGAGACCATTTTTTGGTTCCCATGGCATCTAAACGTGTAGAAGTCTTGGAGACCGAAGTGGGTCAATTTAAGGCGGATCTGGAGGAGAAGATGGCCACATTTAGCGAGAATGTGGAAGGGAAATTCATGGCTTTGGAGGAGATGATGAAGAAATTGTTGGAAGGGCAAACTAGGGCTGTGCCAGCGGAGGAAAGAGGAGAAGGTAGTGGAAGCAGGGGTAAGGAGAAGGTGAATCCAGAAGAGGAAGAGGAGGTGGAACTGCTTAACAGCAACGGGAGGATGCCACCTCGGGAGTCCATCAGGCGAGAAGAACATGACAGAAGGAGAGACTTCCGGGAAGGAAGAGAAGATGATTGGCGACGTCGGAGGCCCGACCCAGTGGACCGGCCATGGGGGATCCATAACCACCATGGCGGAGCGCGAGGGGAAGATGGCTATCGACGGCCGAGGAGGGATGATGAGCCCCGATATGGAGAGAGAGGAACTTGGGAAGACCCCATTGCCTGGGACAGAGGAGGCCATGGGGGGAATAGGGCATACGGGGTGGACACGAGGGCCAGAAAGCTGAAAATGCCAGTCTTCGAAGAGGGAAACGTGGATGAGTGGATCCACAAGGTGGAAAGGTATTTTGCAGTGAATGGCCTTATGGAGGAGGAGAGATTGATGGCTGCTAGCATGTGCTTGGAAGGGGCGGCTTTTGCCTGGTTCAAGTACATGGATAAGTGGGATCCGGTGAGAACTTGGAGGGATTTCAAGGAGGCCATCAGAGAGAGATTCAGGGGGGGCAGCCCATGGGAGATCTCCGAGCAGTTCTATGCCCTCACTCAGGAGGGAACAGTGGAGGAATACAGAAAGAAATTTGAGAGTCTGGTGGGAGACATGGAGGGCTTATCGAACAACACGTTGGGGGGGAACTTCATGAAGGGGCTCAAGCCAGAAATTAGAGATGCTGTGAAGGTCATGAGACCGAGAGACCTGAGGGAGGCAATGGAGTTGGCTCAGCTGGTGGAGAACCAGAAGACCAACGCTCGAAGTTGGAGGAACAACCACTCAGGAGGTCCCACCAGGACAACTACCACTTACTTGGCTCCAAAAGGGCCAAGCACTAGTGTCCCTAGAGAGAGTGGAAAGGAGAAGAGCGGGGTGACTAGAACTGCAGGAAGCTTCAAGAAATTGACTGAGGAGGAGATGCAGGAGAAGAGGGCCAAGGGCCTTTGTTTCAGATGTGAGGAGAAGTTTGTTCCAGGACATAGATGCAAGGATCGCGCTCTTCGGGCTCTCACCGTCTATATAGACGAGGCGCCTGAGGAGGGTGATGATTCTGATGAGGAGCAGATTGATCCCCAGTTGGAGGTAGCCGAGGTATCCCTCAATTCTGTGATGGGATTTACTCCTAGTCATACCATGAAGGTGAAGGGGAAGATCCAAGGGAGGGAGGTAGTAGTACTGATCGATAGTGGGGCAACCCACAATTTCATATCCACTCAGGTGGCGGAGGAGCTGGGGATGGAGCCTACTGAGACAGGCAGTTATGGGGTGATGATGGGGACAGGAAAGATTGAGTCTAGCACGGGGATCTGCAAGGGGGTGGAGATGAGCCTACAGGAGATCAGGGTGGTGGAGGATTTCCTACCCCTGAGATTGGGTAGCACGGATGTCATTTTGGGCATGAAGTGGCTACAGACCTTGGGTGAAACCAAGGTGAACTGGGGAACCATGGTGATGGAACTGATGGTAGAAGGGAAGAGGGTGAAGCTGAAGGGGGAACCAGGATTGTCCAGAGCTGGAGTGTCACTCCGATCGATGGTGAAAATCATCCATGAGGAAGGAGGAGGATTCCTTGTGGAGTTGCAGAGCCTGGAGGAACAGAAACTAAGGAAGTGTTGATCCAGTGGAAGAACCTTCCTGACTACGAGGCCACGTGGGAACCATATGAGAGGACGAAACAGCAGTTTCCTGATTTTCACCTTGAGGACAAGGTGATTCTTTGGGAGGGCGGTAATGTTACGCCGGCCCAGGAGGGGCCGGCTGGACCGGTCCAACCCGGACCGGTCCG